TAGTAAGTAGTCCTCTTAATTGACTTCTTTGTGCTGGAGTAGTTGTTTCAGTTTCAAGTAATTTTCCTAGGTAGTAGACATTTATTAAAGTAAAAATTTGATCCTTAATTCTTGATGATTGAAGTAACATTCGATATGTCATTTGAATTATCTAATTCAGCAGAATACAGAGGGAAAGCAGGTGTTATTTCCAAAGGTAAGGTTTCTTTTAAATCGTCAATAATAATTTGTTCCATGATAGATAAAAATAAAATATAAAATTCTTAAATTGAATTTTAAAATGGAGAGTCCTTATATACTTTAAAAGATCTCCATTTACTGGGGTTTGAAGTACACAACCATCTAGTTCTCTTATCTTATATGATCTATTTAATAACAATTAATGGATATAGTACGGTCCTTTCTATTTTTGATCTAGATTTCCTGAATGTGTTTTGTCTTTAGCCGCTTCAAAATACAAAACATTATCTCCTATATTAAGTGTTACAGAGATCTTGGTAATTCTTATCATGATATTTCTTTTGTTTTTGTTATGCAAGTTATATTTGTGTCTTTGCATCTTATCGCACTAATGGCAATTTGTTGATTAGATGATCAACTCTACCTTGTAAAAGAAAATCTTGATTGATACAGATATCATCAGGATCATCAGGATTATCAATTGGTAACGTTGCATTTCATCCATAGACCAGATAAAAAGGTTCTATTTTTGTGGCTGATTGTTTACTTGTACGATAAGCAAATAGTACAGGTGAAATATATTGATCCCATTGGGTAGATTTTTCAGCCAATTTTGCCAAGGATTCACACAAAGTTCTATTGAATCTTTCTACTAATCCATTCGTCCTAGGATGATAAGGAGTTGATAAATTATGTCTAATATGGAATTGTTCCATTAATTGAGTAACAAGTTGATTATTGAAATGAGATCCTCTATCAGATAAGATTTTTGTAGGACATCCATGTCAGTAAATTATATCCTCATATAAGAATTTGACAATATTTTTAGCAGTAGTATCTCTTACTGCTCTAGCTTCAGGCCATTTAGTTAAATAGTCAACAGCAACTATAATTTATTTGTTTCATCTACTTGTTCGTGGTAAAGGTCCAACAAAATCTATTCTAATTCTATAGAATGGTGAATCAACTGGAATAGGATGTAATTCATTTTTAGTTTTAGGTCTTCCTCTTCGTTGACATGCATCACATGCTTGAACATAAGATCTAATATTTTCGTACATTTGAGGCCAATAATATCGTGTTAAACATTATATAAGTAGAAAAATGTGCAGCTGTTGGATCATTATGTATCATATAAAGAATTGCTTCTAATTCTGATATTTTGATTACTCTTAATAATTTTTCTGGATTCTTTTTAGGTTTCTTATATAATAGATCGTTTTTGACTTTAAAAAATTTTGCTTGTCTTTTTAATTTGATGATATCTTGAGAATTAAAGGAATAGGGAAACGTATTTAGGGTTAAATATACAAAAAGGTTATTATATTGAGTAGTATCCATGATTATTTGAGCTGCCTATCACAATGTAAACACTTTAGCTTTCACTCTAAAATATGTGTTAAAATAAAAATAATTATTTTAAATAATTTATAATAAAAAAAAGATTTATTAATAAGATAAGGGGTTTATTAAAGAATCAAGATGTTCAAGGGATTCATAAAGTTGAGCATAGGCATTTTCTTGTTGTACCATAATAGGTTCATTCCACCAAAGGTCATTAGATAAGTAAGTTGGATTTATATCAGGTTGAATCTTCCCAGGGCTGAATCCAATAATACAATTATGGATAATAGTCCCATACGATAAGTTCGTTTATATGCTTTACAATACGTGTGGATATGATAGTTTTCAATATCACAATAAAAGGTACATTGTGAACCACCTTTAGTAATTGGTTGATTAGCAATTACTTGCTTAATCTTCAAATTTTTCTTATAAATATCCTCAAGTTCTTTTTAACCATAATTGTATCCCATTGTAATTAAAGGAGTATTTGCGAATTGTTGAGATAATTCTTATTCAAACCATTCCTCATCACTTATACTATTATAATTGTTAGTTGAAGAATTGTTACTTGATGAGTACCATTTGATTTCTTCATCAATACTATCTTCATGATGTTCTGAAAAACTTGTTTCTCCATAATTGTAGCCATAAATGCTTCTTTGTAAGATTCATCATTTTCTTGTTCAGGAATTAATCTGGATAAAGCATTAGCATTGGCATTATTTTTACCAGGACGATGTTGAATATTAAAGTCATATTGTTGTAACTTCATAATCCATCTAGCACGTCGTCCTTTAGGAATTTTTGAGGTCCTTAACCATTTAAGAGCAGAATGATCAGTCACAACTGTAAATGGTTTAGAACTAAGATAATAATGGAAATTTCTAATAGCCCATACTACTGCGAGACATTCCTGATCAGTAATAGGGTAATTTTATTCTGCTTTATTCATACTTTTACTAGCATAAGCAATTACATGTTCATTATTATCTTCATCTATTTGAGATAATACAGCACCCAATCCTACTCCAGAAGCATCAGTATATAGAGTAAAAGGTTTAGAGAAATTAGAATATTAAAGGATAGGTGATGTGATCAACTTATTTTTCAGTATGTCAAAAGATTTCTGTTGAATTTCTGTCCAATTATATAGTGTATCTTTCTTTAATAAAATAGTTAAAGGTTTAGCTATTTGAGAGAGCCCTTTAACAAATTTTCTGTAATAAGAAAATAATCCTAATGCTGCTCTTAATTCAGTTAACCCTTGTGGAGTAGGCAATTATTTAATTTTTCTAATTTTTTCTGGATCAGGTTGTAGACCATTCCTTCCTATGATATGTCTAAAAAATGGAATATTTGGTAAACAGAATTAACACTTTTTAAGTTTGATCATTAACTTTGCTTCTCTGATCGCTTTGAAAACAAGCTGTAAGTATTTAACATGTTCTTCATAAGAGGATGAGTAGATTATAATGTCATCCAAGTATACATCTATGAATTTATATAAATAATCTTGTAGGACATAATTCATGAGTCGTTGAAAAGTTCCAGAAGCATTTTTCAATCCAAAAGGCATTCTTTTAAATTCATATAAACTATATTGGCAAATAAAGGCAGTCCTTTCTCTATCAGCTTCTTTCATTTCCACTTGCCAATATCCACTAGCAAGATCTAATGTAGAGAACCAACTTGCATTTCTAAATTTTTCTAACAAGTCATCGATTAATGGTAAAGGATAAGCATCTCCTTTAGTAATAGTATTAAGTTTTCTATAATCAATACAGATTCTAGAATCTCCAGTCTTCTTTGATACGATAACTACAGGGGAAGCCCAAGGACTTTTAGATCTTTGAATAATATCATTCTCTTCCATTCTTTTTATTTCAGATTAAAGAAAATTTAATTTAGCAGGATCTTTTAAATAATATACAGGACTTGTAATTGGTTCATAATCTCCAGTTGGTATTTGATGTTGAAAGAGTGTGGTATGACCAATTTTTGTTTGACTAAGTGCACAAATATCCTTATTATCTTCAATAAATTGATTAAAGATTTCTTGTTGAGATATTTCTAAGGGTCTAATATGTATATCTTCTTTAATGTTCTATTCATTATTTTCAACGTCTTCCTTTTCAATTTGAGCTAAAAAGACAGCAGGATTATTTTTCCAAGGATTAGCAAATAGTTCTGTTTCATTGAAATTAAAAGACTCTTCATTTTCATTAGAAGTGTTTTCTTCACTATGAAGAAAGAAAATATCCCTTTCATCGAGATATTCATCTTCATATTAATCATTATTTGTTAAATCCTCAATTACATCGATAAGTTCATCCATTGAAATATCAGGGTCTTCATCTAGTTCAAATGATGAATTATCATAGTAAGTAATTGGTATGGACGCAGCTTTAGTAAGATATTTAAATCTTAAGTTTCCTTCATCAAAATTTAGAACTGCTTTAGTATGTTTGAACTAGTCTGTTCCTAGTAACAAATTTTCATCAGGGGATTCAATTATTTGTAAAATAATAAGCATTCTAATAGGTCTAATAATGATCTTGAAAGTGTTAATCTTTCCCAATGCTCTTGCTCTTTTTCCCATTAGCAGTATTAATAATAATTTTTGATAGTTCGTCGATTTTTAATTTAAGTCTTTTAACTAAACTACTAGTAATAATACTGATAGCAGCTCCTGAGTCAAGAATAGCTTGTATATTCTGATGATTTATTTGTATATTACATCGGATAGCAGTTGTAGGAGTTTCATCATTATTATCATCACTAATATATTTGTCATCTATTCCAATATTGTTGGTTTCTTTAATAATAGCTCTTTTTAACGCATTAGCTAAGTTTCTTCTTTGATCTGGGTATTTAACCATTGGCCAAGTTTTGCAGAAGAAGGTAAGTTAAGAATATCTTCAGCAACATTATATGAGGCAAGTTGATC